AAAGAAAATAACAATAATATCAGACAGGTTTCTTCTGTTCGCATCAATTTGTGAAACTGGTTTATTTTTCTTTAAACGATAGCATACGTAATACGCCTCTCTTTGTGGATAATAATAAAATAACTGTATTAAAAACGGATAAATAAAATCCGCTAGATAAAAATAGAAAACATTTGTGTTTTGTGCCAGATTCTGTTTCATCTCTAAGTTATTAGTTTATTCCAACGTATACAATACGCATTTGCATGAATGAAACACGAAAACGCTGTACTAGATTTATATAACAGCATATTGGATTATACTGGATATCGCGATTTTTATAGAGATATTTTGCTTAACAATTTTCTCTATTAATTGTTGAAATAATATATCTTTAATTATTATTAAAAAGTTTTAATTACTATTTTTGGATCTTACATTCAGCTTCTCTAATATATCCAAAGAGTCCTTAGCAAACACTGGAAAGACCTAAAATTCATTATTAATGTGTACTACTATATTTTACAATAATTTCCAGCCTTGCTGGAATAAAAGATTCGAACTTTTTTTTCCTCTTTCGCTGCTAGATAAATGAGAGGATGATACTTTTTGTTCTCTATATAAATCAATCATTATAACAAATAAAAACAAAAAAGTACGTACAAAACAATCAATAAATATCATAATTACATATTTTCATATATCATAATTATTTATTATTATAGAGTATAGGCTAAAAATATAAAATTATCCATACCCCATTGATTAGTCAAGCTACGCCACTGACTCGAAAAATGTTACACATATCAAGAAGATAGTACGAGATTGAATGAAACTGATAAATACTTAATTTTTTTTATCTAAATCATTTAATCAAGTGAGCTTTACGTAGGTAAATGATTTGCATATTGTGATCCAGTAACTTCTATTTTTAAATCGTATAATTTAATAAATAATATGACGGTGATTTACTTTATTATTTTACGATAACGGACATATTGAGAGTCGAAAGCGTAAAAATCTTACCTCTGCCATATTGGGTGTTTTTAATACAGGGTCTAATTTGTATGTTCAGTTGATGTAATATTCCAATGTTTGTGGTAGATAATGAACAATTTCGAGTATTTTGACTGATATATCTGTTTAGTCTTCATGGGTATAAAGACTAAAAAAATCTATGCTATGGTCCATCTTGCACTTGCAACAAAATGGGACGTTGTTGAGTTTATATCGGGTTTATTTCAATGTGTATTTAACACAATCAAATTATTTTTAGATTTCCTCAAATGCCAAAGTCTAATTATGACAAACCTATGGAGCAGTAAGAAATTTTCAAAAAGGTTAAATGAATCATTATTTTTTTCTTTAGTATTATCTAACTCATAAAATCTATCCGATAAAACAGGTTTGCACCCTTGATACTTTGTAAATACGTTATTTTGAGGACACTTCCGCTCTGAGGCAATAAACATAACGAAGGTTTTATTTTGGTCATATATAAAGTTTCTGTTTTCGTGTGATTTCCTGTGAAACGGTTGCCAACTGCAGGTGATCTATATACGTTCAAACTAATTCTGGCCAATTAACTGAGACTGAAACTATATATCTTTATCGATTTATGATAAATATATACAATTTTTTAAAAGGAAACGTTGACCTGAAAATATTAGTAAGTAATTTTTCAAAATTGTTAGCAGATGTTAATCATCTGTTGACGAAATACAAAATCAAAGAAAAAATGTAGCTATTTTAACAGAAAATTTGTGCAAAACTGCAAATTACGCTGATTTTCAAGTTTAGTCCCTACTCTATTTAACTTTAAGTCTTTAAAACAAAATAAATTATGAAACAGTTCATGACAATTAGAATTTAACAGAAGTCAAACAGTAATAAATAAATAATAATACACGAGATACAACACAATCTCTTAAATGTTGAACCAATGTTACACACATTTGCATATCTGGAATTTGTCGGTTAGGATAGTCTATCTATCATCGTCTTCTTGCAACAGCATCGTTTTCTCCTGACAAAAATTAAGCGCTAACCATATCAACTTTCTGTTGATTCGTATGCATGCTTTCATAATATCACACAGAAACTTCAAAATGAAAACACAAAAAGACACTGTACCATCACAAAAAACTAAAACAAATAACTTTATAAAAAAAGAAAGGCTAGCCTCAACTGCTTTTCGTAAGCCTTGGAATCAGGATGGGATTCTGCTTAAATTCAACAGTGTAGGGTGTACCGTTGATCATTTCGTTGCGGGTAAATAATAAACGTTAACATAAATTAACTTTTTCTGCGATTAAATATTATTATTTGATTTGATAACTTTTTAATAATACGTGTTTCGACTTTCCTAAATACATTCCTCTTTGCTTCATGTAGTGACCGCAGAATAATTCAACTAAGTGTAAACAAGGATTTAAGTGCAGTTTAGAAGTCGACTATTTATTTTATTAAAAAAAAGAATTTCAAATTAATATTCTAGAGAATACGTACTACTGCTCTATCAAAAACTTACAATCCTTCTCCCCTCCCCTTAAAATTTAACCATGCATAATATTCATATACATAATTACTTATTGCAACATGAACTGCTGAACTTTATAAACAGTTTGAAGTATGAGTCATTTCACTAGTTTTCAAGAAAAAAAACATACATTTCTAATGATTTCTATCTCCATATAGTTTCTAACAAATGAAATGACTCCATCTTCCACATTTATCTTCCACTAAATTGGTGCATCTTTCAGCGACATAACTGAACTAATTTCAGGCTCTTGCAAATTGTACCTGCCTCGCCACTTCTATTCTAGATTTTGGAACGAGCGTTCGTAACAATTACAAGAGTTGAAAAAGCCGAAAGGTGTTTGTTCTATTTCTGAAGCGTCGCCCCTATTACACAAGATGATTCATGACATCTAAAAATATCGTAAAAAGTCGGTAGGCACAGAATTATCCTACACTTATGTTATTCGTAAATATTGCCACAATTCGCACCCACCGAGTACATAAAATTACGTAACGTAAACAGTTAGTCTAAATTTAGAGGGGACATTACATTTACGCAACTTTGGTCATTAAAGAAGTTGCCAATTTACTCGGAGATGAATAAGCACATCCCATATTGAGTCAATTTAAAAATTCTCCTCTTAGAAATTTTTCCAAAATATTATAGTCAAGTCGATATTTGTTGGACGGTATACCAAAAATAATAAATAATAACCTTAACACGCCCAATTTTCTTTTTGATTTTTTTTGAAATATCATCGATAGTGACGGATCTTGGGAAAGACAAATTTACTCCACTTTCCAATGGTAATGTATAAATTCTGATGCAATAATTCTACTTGGTAGAAGATATTTTTGTTTTTGTCCAAAATACCTAAATTATTTTTTCATTTTAAATTTTTTTCACAAAATCATTTTTTTCCTTGGGAATCTTTGACCTGTCCTTATTGATATTGGGCTAATAGAGACGAACCCGCCATCACAATCCCTAGGTTCGTCGTTTCCGGTTGTTGTCGATTTTAAAGGCGTTACAGATAGAACAGCTCCTCAGACAATGGTGGTTGGATCCAACGTTTCCAAACGTTTCACAGTTCTTCACTATCGGCATCTTCAGTGCAAAACCTTCGCCGCGACTAATCGCTTTTCCGGTATTATTGTAAAAATAATTAATAAAATAGTAATAAAAAATTAATTTTAATGCAAAAAATATACTTCTTTCACCACTGTGAAAGAAGGACAATTTAGTTTGTAAAAATAATATAATCAAGCTAGTAAAACTATGACTAGCATTTCTAAAGAAAAATTTGTAAGATCTGGTTCACATCAGTTGTCAAACCTATTACTTGGCCGAGTTAAAATTATACGTATTATGACATGCTTGGTGATGGATATCGTCATAATTTGATATATTCTCTGCTTTTCGTATATTGCAATTTCCGGATTCTGAAACTTGATTGATAAAGCACACTTCTATACTGAAAAAAGAAAAAGAATGTATCTTATTTATTTTTTTATTGCAATACATACATAATTTTTTAATTATCGCATTTTTCATTTTATTGAGTGTTCTAAATTATCTATTCAGCTATACTGAATATAAATAAATTAAACTGACGTTCTATGTAAACCAAATGATTTGTTATTTGCTTTATTCTATTTGCTATATTCGAACTGATGCAAAAGCTACTCTACGCGTTTTTAAGCAAAAATAAAGTATATTTTTGCCTGCTTTCTTAATTTTTATTAGATTTCTATATTTGGATACACTCTTATTAATAATTCCGTAATGCTAAATCACCTTTTCTTTCAGTGTGAGAAATCTCATAAAAAGAAGTCATCAGATCAGAGATATTATGTTGTTGATCATCCCTTCTTTATAGGTACCCGAAATAAGTCTATTTATTAAATTCTCCCTTTTTCCAAATATTAATTTCTTTGAGGTGACATAAGAATTTTGACATTAGGCATGACATTTCCGCTTCAAAGCAATATCTCGAAAGATATTTGAGGTAGATTAATGAAACTTTAGTGGCATTTAGTTGACTCAATTAACATATTTTGATCACAAATTATCTGGCATATTTATACCCCTCTATTTAAATACATCCTAATTTAATATTCATACTGTGTTTTCTTGTACATGTTTTGTATCAGAAAATTCCCTATATGTAAACTGTTTTTTTTTTACTTTGACTCTCCCTCGTTGTTCTCGGGCTAGACTCTGTGGTGACCTGACCCGCTATCAGAGCCCCTAGCTCCGCGTTGATGTTCATTTCAGTTCTTATTGTTAATTGCACTGTACTTCCTCATTTCTAAAGGTCGTATATGAACTTTATATTCTGATTACTCGTTTTATTATAAGCTAAATATTTTGGAATGCTTCAAAATAAATGCATCTCCATTGTGTTGTTTTATAACCAATAAAATTTGTACATAAACTAATATTTTTCAATACTTATACTCAAAACACTTGCACTTCTAAACTCCCTTTTTTAAAATAGGTATATGGGCTCCTGGACAACGTCAGGATACCTTCGCTAACGATACGCAGAACAGAGACGGAGAGGATCAGAAGATAGTCCAAGATGAAGCCATTCCACCAGTATGGACACCCAGGAGCACAAATTCCAGTCCCACAGTTGAAAGAAAAGAATTCCGACCGGTCAATTTCCAGTCACCAGTATTAGGTAGAAAAGCCAGAACGAAATCAGAGGTAAGAGATTTTATAATAATAATAATTTTGTACAAATTATGTGAATCAAACTGAAAATATTTATATTTTGAAAATTATTGGAAAATTGTATTTTTTTATTTAAATATTAAATGAATTCATAGTTAGTATACAGGGTGATTCACAAATGGTGACCAAAAATGAAACCTCGTATTCTTTGGTGAATTTTAAGGTGAGTCTTTCCTATAAAGTTTTTATCTAGGACGCTTCGTTAACAAGATAAAAGGTGTTAAACTTCAAAAAATATTTTAAATCCTTTAAATAATTTAAAAATTAGTAAGTGAAATAATTTGAAATTGGGTACATGTATTTATGTAAAACTATCCAAAATCTGAGGGCTTTTCCTAAAATTTACATGCTCCAGTGGCATATTTTTTTAAATAAAATAGTACGCCACTGTTTTACGGTAACAACCATGATATTTTCGGATTCGTCTTTCAATTTTCTACAAATTAATTCTCTCTTATGTTTTTCAAAAAAAGACTGATTTTCGAGTAAAACTTAAAAAACGGTTTTGGTCACCATTTGTGAACCACCCTGTATGTTAAACCAAAAACTGTTGTTTCTAATATGGATTTGAACTGCTGTTTCGACATTATATGGCGGTGATTATCTGCTGCTTATTTAACAAAACGAGGAACAAAAGAATTGCGATAAGTTTATTGAAACAATTATTTATTTACTAACAGCACAACGTTACAAGGACTTGACCGCAAAATAGGATTATCAAGTAACTTGTTAGAAAAGGCAATAAAATAAATTATATAAGTAACTAGTTCATCGAACTCGTGAAGCTGAATTAAAAATTACAAAGCGCAGTCAAAGGTACATAACAGATCTCGGTAGCATTGCGATATTATTAATTTTAAAATAAGAAATCGACTAAACTTGATGCTTACTTATATTACTGAGCGAGTTTAAAAATGCTTACTCGTAATTGAATTTGTTTCGACTTGGTCAAATAAGTTAAAAAAAAATATATACTGTTTAACCTAATATAGTTAACTGTTGCTGAAGAATTTGTACTAAACCAATTCTCAAAATATTCTTTTGTTCGCATTTGTTTTGGAAGAGAGATTGTATGTTCTCATAATTAACTGGGACAGCATCATCAGCACATAAAATGGAATAGCTATTTAGTTCACAAACAGGTAAATCATTTGTGTATCTTAGAAAAATAATAGGACCTAATATGGATCCTTGAGGTACACCAAGTTTCATATTTCTTCATTGAGGTTATTATACTGATCGAAGATATAAGATCTCAGTTTTCTAAAAAAAATGTAATGGGAAACACAGTCGAGATAGTAGAAAAAATATTGTATACAAAGTACCTACTAAGAGTTCTTCAACTACTTCATGATATACAGTGTGTACCCGGACAGGGTGCTACACTCTTGTAAACTAATCAATGTTAAAGTCAACATATTTATTTTTATTAACTGTCCACCGAATAATTTGTATTAATAATGAAGCAACGAATTTATCTTGTGAAATGTTATAATATCGATAATATAATATATCGATATGCAATGACAAATTTTTAATGAACAGTATCCAAATGTAACTGTAACTTGTAGAGTAGTTCGCAAGCTAATTATAAAATTCGATACCACTGGCGATGTAAAGAATATTAAAAAGATAAAAAAGTAATACAATGATAACGATGGTGCTGCTGTTGTAGTTATGGACTACAAGACAATCCAAAGATGTCACTTAGGAAAAGGTCAGAAAACGTAGATATTAGCAGATCTCATATTCAAAGAATTTTAGTATAGATACAACAAAATCTATCCATTCAAACCAGTGTTTAATCATAAATTGCTTGATGGAGATGATGGTTGTCATTTGGACTTTTGTTTAACAATTGGCGAGAAACTGATTGAAAACAGATTAATAACTAATGGGTGGTTTCTTCTCAAAATTGTAGATACTGAGCTAAATATAATCCAAATTTTTTATTGATAACTAAGTCAAAAATTTTAAAAAGTAAATAATAATTTTGTTTTGACAGAACTAGATAGCGAAAATTTAGAGTTCAGAAGAAAACTAATATTTCAACAAGATGGATGCCCTGCACATTCCTCATATCTAGTGAGAAACTGGCTTGACGTTCACCTCCCGAACAAGTGGATCGAACGTTATGGAACAATACCTTGGCCTGCACAGGCACCTGACTTGTCCCCATTAGATTATTTCTTATGGAGATACCTAAAGCAAAAAGTGTATTCAAACGATTTTAACGATAACATTGATTTAATTAAGCAAAAAATTCGGGAAGCTGTTGCCACCATAAACGAAGAAATGATCTCGTCTGGGTATAAAGAATTTAGAAAAAGATTAGCAAAATGTGTATTACTTGGAGGTTTACAAGTTGAATAGGACTTGCTTCGTTGTTGTTGTTAATTCCCGTTCTAATTTATTATTTCTGAGGTTATATGCATCTGAGGAAGAGAGCGATATGTCTTTCGAAACGTCAAGAGGCCTAAACCGACGACGTGGCAACCCGCCCGGAAATTGTTCTACCAAGCAATTTTTATATTATATTAAATTTAAAATAAAAGTTTACTCATTTTTTACAATTTCTGTCTGCTTTAAGTAAGAAGTTAAAAATCGCTTCTTATTTGCAAAATGTGATTATTGTTCTTTTCTGACTAAATCCCGCATTTAAGCATTTATTGACGAAAAAACGAAACCAAAACTTTAAGGCACTTCGCTTAGGGCAAATTTCACATTTTGAAATTTTTTGGACGCCCTGTGGTTTTTTACATATTTGATTACTGCCCATGGCTTCCCAAGATAAGCAAAACTTTTTATCAAGCATAACTTTTTCTCGAAAAATCAGGAGTGCGTTACTCTATCCGGGGACACACTGTATTTTACCCGTTAAAAGCATAATTATATCTATAATACATATAGTAAAGCCATTTTCTCTGAATATATTTTGTAATGGGCTAAAATATGATTAAACAATTTATTAACTACCCCTCCCGTTTCCCCATGAGTTGGTTCTTCAGAGAGCTCTGCAGCAACTCCTATCCCATTGTTCTACCCTCTTATTCGATAAATAGATTATCCTTTTGTCCTGTACCCGCAGTTCCTCTTACTGAATATTCCTTTCTTATCGCGCAAGGATCCTAACGAGGGGCATTAATCTCGTAAGCGCGAGGTCCTAACGCCCTGACAGACTCGCAAGTTGTTCTAGTCCACCTTGTCGCACGGCCCCGTCAAGTCAGGTGTTTCAAATTTACGGCTGGGGTTGTTTTCTTAAATAACATCAGTCTGTGCTCCGCTATTTTGAATCGGATTTTCCCTACACACTCCGCAGTATTTTTCAAAGCGAGGACTTTTACCAATTCCTTCTATTAAGTACCATATCACTAAGATAAAGAAGAAGCCAGAACGGTAGTAGCACTTTTTCATAAACCTCAAAAATTTTGTATAAGTTGGCTACAAACATGTTACAGAACAACTCATTAAAACGTATCAGTAATTTCTGTTTCCAGTTCTTGGCAGGATACGTGTAACTAATGTTAAATCTATGATTATGTGTTGATTTAGCCTGTCTAATTGTGTAGTATATAATCCATGACTTCCTATAAACTCTGTTCCGTTCCACATTTTTACCGTTACTAATTTTAACAATAAATGCAGCGGACGAACTGAAATGGTACCTGGAATTTGTTCTACTTACATGATTTGCGCAGTTTTGCATATGAACGCTTTGAGCACGATCTCGCGAAATGTTCTTTTATTACTGTAATTTCATGTATCTAATAAAATAAATATTTCTGTTAGGTAAAAGCAAATAAATTATGTAGTATAGATAATGCGGCAATCTTTATTTTTATATTGTTTAAAATTGTTTATGTGTGATGTGTTTTAGGTTACTTTGTTTATTAGTATTTTATCTACTCCCACTATAGTAAATAGACTATTAATACATAGAAATATTTGATGAACATTTCATTTTATTAATTATTATGAATGAATATTTATAATAATTGTACAGTTATTACATTTAGTAACATTTATAAAATCTGGATAATTATTCCCCTCGCGTTTACTAATTGTCACATTTTTCTCAAATTGATTTGACCGCTCCATTTCAGTCACCACAGGCTCAATATTATCTGACTGATCCATTAAAACAGCATGATGCGACGTACTACTAGAACCTGGAGTTGTAGTGTCATTGTAAAAAATCCTGTTGGCGTTGGCTATTTCATTTTTGTTACTTAAACTGTCAGCAACATAACTTTCTGCAATTGTGACTGATTTCCACTCACTATGTCTCTTGATTGCTAATACATCAACTCCTATATTAGCCAGTAATGTTACCGATGTTCTTCGGAATGAATCGCCTGTATATGTTTCAGGATGTTCTAGTTTCAAAAACTGTACAATCTTATGAAGAATCATAGAAAGGGTATTTTTGCCGACTGGTTGATTGTAACATCTACCTGCTTGATAGCGCATAAGAAAGCGTGAAATTTCTGTTTTAATTTCCAATCTAATCTTGATATATTTCTTGAGAATTTCTAGGTGAGAAGCGGAACCCAGACGAGAAGTAATTGTAAACGTAGGTGATATACCATTTTTAGAATCTGGAATTGTAACCACAATAATGTTATCGAAATTTTTGAAATTGACGTTGTTCAAAGTAAGTCTGTATAACTCATCAGAACGACATGTAGTTCCCAAGTCAGCGACCTTTTTTCGAACTGATTACAAAAGTCATGAAAACGGTCTGGATCGCTTCGTTTTAACGAGTCTACCACGCTGTAAAATTTTTAGAATATGGGAAGGGCGCTTTTCCGCACTGCAAGTACTTAAACCTGTCGTTCTGGGCGGGTTCTCTTTTGTGATTACAACACTCAAATTTTTTATTTCAATTAAAAGTAAATGTGTTAAATAAGAAGCAAATTGGGTTGTCCGACAAAATAGAGGGCGCAATTGTCGAGTCCGACATCTCCAACATG